CGTGCAGGAGGCAACCAGTCGATGTGTTTCTCACATCCATGTTTCTCTCTTGCACACTCTCGACCCTCCCTTCCACTTTCTCTAAAAAACAAGGTGAAAAATATCCTCAGGTGAGGAATAACCAATAAATAAATAAATAAAAGGGTTATATCCTCTTATATCCTCTTGTTGGCTTGATCCCTTTATGATTATGTAATGTCCTTTGTCTCTAATTATAGCCTTTGTTTTGAAGTCTATTTTGTTTGATATAAATATTACTACCCCAGCTGTTTCTTAATTTCCATTGGCATTAAATATGTTTTTCCATTCCTTTACTTTCAGTTTGTGTGTGTGTCTGTTCATCTGAAGTGAGTCTCTTATAGACATATGTAAGAGTCTTGTTTTGTTATCCATTCAGACACAGTATGTCTTTTGATTGGAGCATTTAAACCATTTGCTTTTAAAGTAATTGTTGATATTCATTAATTGCCATTTTTTCTTTTTTTCTTAAAACAGTCTCTTTAACATTTCTTGTAATGTTGGTTTGGTTGTAATGAATTCCTTTAGATTTTTCTTTCTTTTTTTTTTTTTTTAATCCTCACCCGAGGACATTTTCCCATTTTTTTGTTCAGGTAGAGTGGGAGGGAGAGAGAGGAACAGAGAGAGAGAGAGAAACATCGACGTGAAAGGGACACATCGAGTGGCTGCCACCCGCTCGACCGACAAGGGCCGGGGACAAACTGCAACCGAGGTACGTGCCCTTAGCGGGAACCGAACCCGGGTCTCTCAGGACCGCAGGCCAACGCTCTAACCGCTGAGCCAAACCGGCCAGGGCTAGATTTTTCTTGTTTGGCAAGTTCTTTATTTCTCCTTCAATTTTATTTTATTTATTTATTTTAATGTTTTGTTTGTTTGTTTTGTTTTACTTAAGAGAGAGAGAGAAATATCAACATTGATTGGCCTTCTGCACAATCCCCTTGCTGGGGATTGAGCTGCAATCTGGGCATGTGCCCTGACTGGGAATTGAACCAGTGACCTCTTGGTGCATGGGTCAATGCACAGCCACTGAGCCACACTGGCTGAGCTCTCCTTCAATTTTATTTATTTTTTTGTCCTCACCTGAGGACATTTTTTGCATTTATTTTCAGATAGAGTGGGAGGGAGGGGAGGGGAGAGAGAGAAACATTCATATGAGAGAGACACATCGATTGGTTGCCACCCACACGACCCCAACCGGGGCTGGGGACAAACTGCAACCAAGATACATGCCCTTAGAGAAAACCGAACCCAGGACTCTCTGGCCAACACTCTAACCACTGAGCCAAACTAGCCAGGGTTCTCCTTCAATTTTATTTTTTTATTTTTCTTTTCTTTTTAATCTTTATTGTTGAATGTATTACAGATGTTCCTCATTTTCCCCCATTGACCCCCTCCTCCCCACTCCTGTCTCCCTCCTGCCTTTTCCCACACTGTTGTCTATGTCCATTGGTTATGCATATATGCATATAAGTTCTTTGGTTTATTTCTTCCCTCCCCCCCAACCCCCCTTCCCTTTAAGGTTTGTCAGTCTAGCAACCAATTTGTACTTCTTAATCCCTTCACCTTTTTCACCCATTCCCCCTTCCCCCCTTCTATCTGGTAACCAACAAAATGTTCTCTATATCTATGAGAATGTGTCTGTTCTGTTTGTTCATTTTATTTGTAGATTCGATTGTTGATAGCTGTGTATTCATTGCCATTTTCTTTGTTCATATTTTTTATCTTTTTCTTCAAGAAGACCCTTCAACATTTCATATAATAATGGTTTGGTGGTGATGAACTCCTTTAGCTTTTCCTTGTCTGGGAAACTCTTTATATGGCCATCAGTTCTAAATGACAGTTTTGCAGGATAGAGTAATCTTGGTTGTAGGTTCTTGCTTTTCATCACTCTGAATATTTCTTGCCTCTCCCTTCTGGTCTGCAAAGTTTCTTTTGAGAAATCAGCTGACAGCCTTATAGGAACTCCCTTGTAGGTAACTAACTGCTTTTCTCTTGCTGCTTTTAAGATTCTCTCTTTGTCTTGAACCTTTTGCATTTTGATGATGATGTGTCTTGGTGTGGGCCTCTTGTTTGGGACTCTCTGTGCTTCCTGGACTTGTATGTCTGTTTCCTTCACCAAGTTAGGGAAGTTTTCTGCCATTATTGTTTCAAATAGGTTTTCGATTTCTTGTTCTCTCTCTTCTCCTTCTGGCACCCCCAAGATGCGAATGTTGGCATGCTTGAAGTTGTCCCAGAGGCTCCTTACACTATCCTCAGTTTTTTGGATTCTTTTTTCTTTTTGCTGTTCTGATTGGGCGTTTTTTGTTTCCTTATATTCCAAATCGATGGTTTGCTTCTTGGATTTACGTACTCTACTATTGAATCTGTGTAAATTATTCTTTATTTCAGTTAATGCCTCCTTCATTTGTGACTATGCCTCCTTCATTTCTGACTGGTCCTTTTTTATGCTGTTGGGGTTCTCATTAAGTTCATTGAGCATCCTTATAACCAGTGTTTTCAACTCTGTATCTATTAGATTGCTTGTCTTGATCTGTTTAGTTCTTTTTCTGGCTTTTTGTTATCTTTTTTTCATTTGGGGCGTGTTTTTTTGCCTTTTCATTTTGACAACCTCCCTGTGTTTTTCTATGTATTAGATGGAGCTACTACATCTCCCAGATTTTGTAGAGTGGCCTAATGTAGTAGGGGTACAGCGGCATAGCCTCTTCGATCACCCAAGCTGAGGTGTGCCCCCCGTGTGGGCTGTGTACACTCTCTTCTTGCAGGTGAACCTTGATTGCTGTTGGCAATGGGAGGGATTTACCCCCAGGCCAATCAGCTATAACGACTGGTTGCAACCATTGGCCACCAACCTCCAATCACTGTGGAGAATCAGCTGTGTAGGGGCCCACCCTCCAGAGTAGGACTTACTTCAGTAGGGCTCTGGTGCCCACTGTGTCCATCCATGAGTGTGTCGCTTGTGGAGGTGGTTGGGTGGTGGTACTTTGACATGTTCTAAAGCTGTCCACAGGTTTAATTGGCTCTGAGGCCACTCCATAGATGCAGGCCAAGGTCAGCTGCTGCCTGTGTTCTTCCCAGAGCCACCCATCATGAGCTACAAAGTGATCTGCAGATGTTTGCCGCTTATGCTGGGCTTAGACTTGTCTGAGAGAGGCCAAGCTGTGAACCAAGGCTGATTTCTGCTGTGCTGGTCTGGGGCCACTTAGCGAGAGGTATGGGTATGCCAAGGCCAGATGCTGCTTGTTTGTGAGATTTTAGGAAAGTCTGAAGTATGAGCCAAGACAAGTCATATTAATGGAAAAGGCACTGGGAACAGCTTGGGTGGACCCGCACATTAGTTGGGGTTGGGCCTGGGCCTCAGGGAATCACCAGGCAGGCGAACAGTGATAGAGTATCCAGATTGATAGAGACTCAAATATGGTTCCCACCTCTCTGCTCTGTGAGGAGAAGGCTCAGAAAAGGAACAATAGTCTTTGCTAACACTTCTGTTTGGGAGAATATTGTTCCTCCAGGTCTTGCCTTGATGCCAGACAAAGCAGTTCTCCTCCATATGCCCCTGGTGCCTTTTGAGCTGCTGCCCCAGCACTGGAACTCAGAGGGAATGAGTCTGAGTAAGTCTGTGGGTGGGCCCTTTAAGAGGAACTACCTGGCCTGGCCAGTGTGGTTCAGTGGTTGAGCAACGACCCATGCACCAGGATGTCGCCAGTTTGATTCCAGGTCAGGGCACATGCCCCGGTTGTGGGCCTGATCTCCAGTGGGGGACATTCAGGAGGTGGCCAATCAATGTTCTCTCTCATCGATGTTTCTCTCTCTCTTTCCCTTTCCCTTTCTCTCTCTCTAAAATCAATAAAAAAAATTTTTTTATAAATAAAAAAAAGAGGAACTACCTGGGACTCCAGCAGTACTCTGTCTCCCTCAGCCACAATCCCCTCTGGTTTTTACAGCCAGAAATTATGGGGACTTACCTTCCTGGCACTGGAACCCTGGGCTGGGAGGCCTTGTGTGGGGCTGGGACCCTTCACTCCTCGGTGGGGGTGAGAGGGTGTCGCTGCAGCTGAGATATTCCTCCTAATTTTTATCCCCTCATGTGGGTGTGAGAGCAGACCATTCCACGTCTCTAACTCTTTATCAGTCTCAGTGTTGTCTTTTTTTAAAAATTTTTTTATTGATTCTAGAGAGGAGGTTGGGGAGAGAGAGAGAAAAGAGAGAGAAACATAATCAGTTGCTTTCTATACATGCCCCAGTTGGAGAACAAACCCACCACCTTTGGTGTATGGAACAATGCTCCAACCAACTGAATCATCCCAGCCAGGGCAATGTGGCTTCTTCTTTAATTCCCTAGTTGTAAGTCTTCCATTCAGTCAGATTTTAGGTAGTTCTGAATGATGGTTGTTCTTTAGTTTAGTTGTAATTTTGATGTGGTTGTGGGAGGAGGTGAGTACTATCTCGACCGGAAGTTTCTTATATAATATTCTTATATGTGATTTATTAAAAGATTAGACTAGGTAAACTTCTAAAGTGATTTAATCCCAGGATTCTATGATTATATATTGTTGGAGCTATTAAAAGTAAGAATTATTTGAAATAATTTTCCAGTGCTGGGACAGCAGCTCAAAAGGCACCAGGGGCCCTGGCCCGTTTGGCTCAGCGGTTAGAGCGTCGGCCTGCGGTCCTGAGAGACCCCGGTTCAGTTCCCACTAAGGGCACGTACCTCGGTTGCAGTTTGTCCCTGGCCCTGGTTGGGTCGTGTGGGTGGCAACCACTCGACGTGTCCCTTTCACGTCGATGTTTCTCTCTCTCTCTCCCTCCCACACTATCTGAACAAAAAATAGAAAAAATGTCCTCGGGTGAGGATTAAAAAAAAAAAAAAAAAAAAGGCACCAGGGGCATATGGAGGAGAACTGCTTTGTCTGGCATTAGGGCAAGAGCTAAAGGAACATTTGCTAAAGAGCAATGCCATTATTACAAAGTAAAAAATCAGTCTAGTGCTCGCTTTGGCAGCACATATACTAAAATTGGAACAATACAGAGATTAGCATGACTCTTACTCAAGGATGACACGCAGATTTGTGAAGCATCCCATCCCTGGCCGGTTTGGCTCAGCGGTTAGAGTGTTGGCCTTTGGCCCAGAGAGAGAGATCCAGGTTCAGTTCCCGCTAAGGGCATGTACCTCAGTTGCAGTTTGTCCCCGGCCCTGGTTGGGTCGTGCGGGTGGCAGCCACTCGATGTGTCCCTTTCACGTCGATGTTTCTCTCTCTCTCTCTAACTGAACAACAAAAAAAGAAAATATGTCCTCGGATGAGGATAAAAAATAAATAAAAATTTGTGAAGCATTCCATATTAAAAAAAAAAAAAATCATAGTCTAGACCAGTGTTGCTGAAAGAATGGTCTGAAGACTGTTCAAATTAGGTGTAAATATTTAGAGTAACCATTTAGAAATTTTGTTAGCAATTTAACATTGTCATAATATCCAAGCACATTATCATTTATCTAGTAACTTCTGTTTTTACTGTATTAAAAAATATATCAGTTCCACAATGGAAATTTTAAAACACATACATATATACACCAAAACTGGCCCCTTCACCACAAGTAACATGAAAAGCACTGATCTAGACAACCCTCAAATTCAATGATCAACTCTAGAATGATCAGCAATAATCTTAACTTTGTACACAGATAATAAGGTACATATTAAACTATGTTGCTATTTTTTTCTTTTCTTTATGGGATAGTCAGGAGGAATAACAGATGGTTTTCTCATTATTTTATTTTGATTTACAGAAAGATATCTCTAGTCAGAGTTATTTTTATAAGGGATAATTACAGTCTAATTAAAGGAAAGTTTATTTTTAGAAAATATCCAGTATTTTTTAAAAGTATAAAATTGTTTTAGTTTGGCTTTTTAGGGGTTACCAAAAAGATTTGTTCACTGGGGGTGGTGAACACACAATACAGTGAACAGATGATGTATTGTGGAATTGTGCACCTGAAACCTGTATAATTTTGTTAACCAGTGTCACCCCAATAAATTCAATAAAAAGAAAAAGCAAAGATTTGTTTAACTTTTGGATCTATTACTTTAACTGTGTTGTCCCCCATATCCGTGAAATCTATGTTTTCTTTTTTTAATCCTCGCGAAGACACGTTTCCATATTTTGTTTGGATAGAGTGGGAGGGAGAGAGAGAGAGAGAAACATCGACGTGAAAGGGACACATCGAGTGGCTGCCACCTGCATGACCCAACCAGGGCCGGGGACAAGCTGCAACTGAGGTACTTGCCCTTAGTGGGAACCGAACCCGGGTCTCTCTGGACCACAGGCCAACGCTCTAACCGCTGAGCAAAACCAGCCAGGGCAATCCATGTTTTCTTAAGTGATCTCACTAAGCACTCTGGAATGGACAGCCAGCCTTTATTGGCTATTCCATGCTGCACAGAGCTATTCAGAAAGTTGTTAACAAAGTGAAAACAGTGTTAGGACTGGATCTTATACTGATAACACATTCAGAATTATTTTTCTTGAAACACTATCACATATGGGAAAACACTAATTTGAATAAGCAGAAAAAAACCATTCACTGAATTACTGCAAAATTAAATGATAAAGTACTGTTTTTGTGAGAGCTATAAATGGAGCATTTCATTTATTCAACCTTTTTCTACCAGACCCCTGCTAGGGACTGGGATATAGTAGATAGCAAAATTTTCTGCATTTGTGGAACTTACTTGATTGCGAAAGACAGATGTTAAGCAATTACTTATAAAAGTAACAAAAGAGAAAGAGGGAAAGGATTGAGTTGTGTGGGCATACACGCAAGAAGGCCTTATCTTAGGCTAGACAATGAGCAAAAGGTAGGTATGAGAGAAAATACATCTAATAAATAAACAGGAGAAAATGTTAGCCTTCCTGGTAGTAAAAAAACTAATGGAATGCTGAAATGCCATTTTTATGTAAAATTAGGAAGTTTTAATAATTAGTATTTGAGAATTGCTACTATCATTTTAAATTTGTTTAACTCTCTTTAAAAGTTATTTTTAACTTTTTAACGTAGTCCTGCTAGGAATTTTTCTTAAGAGGGTAATGTAAAATAATGAATGATTGTATGCATGAAGATATTTATTATAGAATTATTAATAATTGGGCAAAATTAAAAGTTGTTTATTCATAAAATTTGGGAATAATTAATTGATGTAAGATCTACACATGGAGCATTCATCCATTAAAAAAATAATAGTGAAGAGCAAGCAGCAGCATGGAAAATATGAGTGATGAGCCAAGTGGAATAAAAACAATTTTTATTATTAAAAATTTATAACCCCTGGCCAGTGTGACTCAGTGGTTAGAGTGTCAGCCCATGCACTGAAAGGTCCTGGGCTTGATTCCCAGTCAAGGGCACATACCTGGGTTGCAGGTTCCATCCCCAGCCCAGTCGGGGCATGTGCAGAAGGCAACCAATTGATATGTCTTTCTAACATTGATGTTCCTCCCTCCCTCCCTTCCAATCTCTGTAAGAATCAATGGGAAGAAAAACTTTATAATATGATAAAAATCATCTTATTCTGTATGAGACTAAAGAAAGTACATCAAACTGTTAATGGTGTGGGATTTTTAATGATTTTCACCTATATCCCCCTTCTTGATGCTAGAATTATCTAAAATTATAAAGTCCCTTCTAAAGTACAGATTTGACCATGTCATTTGTTTTACTTATAGCTCTCCCATCCAACACACATACATTGACTATCAGGTAAATTAAAAATTGATTAGCTTGATATTCAAGATCTGTCATACTTTTTATTCCAAACCCCTGTCTTGCCTATGCCCCTACAAACAATTTTCTATGTCTAGAGTACCCTTCCTTACCCATTCTCTACCTGATGTAAATCTGTTCCTCCTCAAGTCCACATTCAAATATCATACTTTCTTGAAGTCTTTCCTCCTTATCCCTTTTTCTCACACATTAATCTCTTTTGTCTACTTTTTAGGTCCTTTCAGTATCATCCTTACAACATTGTATTATAATAGTTTTATTTTTCAATGTAGAAACTGCAGATAGTATCTCCAGTGATTGTTTGGCACATAATAGACAATAAGTCAATAGAAATTGTTAACTGTTAATACTTTTAATTTATTACAGGGGCATTTATGCAATGAGCCTTTGGATATGTACAGTTATTTACACAACCAAGGGATTGCCGTTTCACTTGCTCAGTTCTATATTTCATGGGCTGAAGAATACGAAGCTAGAGAAAACTTTAAGAAAGCAGATATGATATTTCAGGAAGGGATTCAACAGAAGGCTGAACCATTGGAAAGACTACAGTCCCAGCACCGGTAAGATGCTTCTTTAGAGCTTGTTTTAACACCTTAAAACTAGTGGCTATAGATGTTTGTTTTTGCATCTATTAAAGTGCTCTCCATGGATTGGTGTTTACTTAGTTACTATTCAGTTTTTTAAAAGGCATATTTAACATACAATAAAATTCATTCTATGGTGTACAGTTTTACAAGTTTTCACAAATGAAAAGAGACATGTAACCATTGCTATGATCATGATATAAACTCGTTCCATCATTCCATACGATTCTATCATGCTATCCCTTTGCGGTCAACACATACTCTCACTCCCAATCCCTGGCAACAGCTGATCTATTCTCAAGCCCTATAGTTTTTCCTTTTCCATAATGTCATATAAATGGAATGATACAATATGTAGCCTTTTGTGTCTGGCTTCTCTCATTTAGCATAATGCATTTGAGCTGAAAGAGTTCTTTATATATTCTGAATACAAGTTTTTTGTCAGATAAGTGATTTGTAAACTTTTTCTCCCATCTTAAGTCTGGTCTATTCATTCTCTTAACAATGTCTTTTATAGAATAAAAGTTTAATGTTGAAGTAGTCTAATATCAATTATTTGTTATGGATTGTGCTTTTGTTATGTCAGAATTTTGCCTAGCCAAAGGTCACAGAGATTTTTCTCCATTGTTTTCATCTTGAAGTTTATAGTTTTACTTTTTGAATTTAGATCTGTGATCCATTTTGGGTTAATTTCTGTAGAAAGTATGAGTCATGGTTCTTTTTTTTTTTTTTTTTTTTGCAGGTGAACCTATATGTATTCCTATGCCACTTGTTGAAAAGCCTTTCTCTATTAAATTGCCTTTGTACCTTTGTCAAAAGTCAGTTTCAGTTTGATCATATTTGTGTAGGTTTATTTATGTTCTATTGATCTGTGTATTCATGAGTGTATTTCACACTATCTAGATTACTGTAGCTTTATAATAAGTCTGGAAATCAGGTAATATGAAGTCTCTAACTTTGTTCTTTGTTTTAGCTCTTCTAATTCCTTTGACTATAATGTGTTGGTTTTTCTCTGGGTTCATTTAAGATTTTTTTCTTTAACATTGGTTTTCAGCAGTTTGATTGTGATGTGTCTAGGTATCCATTTGGGGTTTAATGGGCTTAAAATTTTTTTTTAATGTTTACCTTTCACAAAATGTAAAAAGTTTTCAGTCACGTTTTTAAAAATATTTTTCTGCACTTGTATTTCTTTCTTTTTCTGGGACCTCAGTTACACATATGTTAGATCTTCTGATATTGTTCCACAGTTCCCTGAAGCTGAATTCCTATTTTAAAAAAATTTAAACCTTTTTCTTTCTATTCTTCAGAGTGGCCAGTTGTTATTGATTTGTTTTTAGGTTTGTTTCCTTTTTCGTCAGCCCTCTTCATTTTTATATTGAGTTATTCAATAAACTTTTTTTTTTTTAGATACTATGTTTTTTTATTTTCTGTGTGTATGCTAAGAACTTTTTTCTTTTTATTCGTTTCAGATGTTTCTACCTTTATCTCATGGAGCATAGTTATAATAGCTGCTTTAAAAATCTCTGAAAACTGCTCTGGCTGGTGTGGCTAAGCGGTTAGAGTGTCAGCCTACAGTCCAGAGAGACCCGGGTTTGGTTCCCGCTAAGGGCACGTACCTCGGTTGCAGTTTGTCCCTGGCCCTGGTTGGGTCGTGCGGGTGGCAGCCACTTGATGTGTCCCTTTCACGTCAATGTTTCTCTCTCTCCCTCTCCCTCTATCTGAACAAAA